GTAGTCGCAATGAAAAAGGAAAAAAAAAAAAAAAAAAAGAAAATATGCATTATTCTAATGGCTAAAATCGGTTAAAATTGTTCACAGCCGAAGATACACGAAACGCTCGTGATTACGTGGGGGTAAGTGCTTCGAGCGCGTTCCGCGACACGCACACACATATGCACACACAGAACGTGGGCATAAAACACATACACACATACATACACACGCACGAACCACACGATTGCTCGCGAGATGTTCGCAGAAAATCCTCAAACGGCTTCGTGGTCGACGCTTTTAAACGTTTTTCGACAGTCGCCCCCTCCCCCATCCCCTGTGATAGGCGCGCGTATATCGAGAGCGTTTTAAACGGTTCCTGCGTTCAACCTTGACTCGACAGCTTTCGAGTTATTTTCACGCCGTTCGAAACAGCTCGATCGAGAACGTTGGTGATACGTCGTTTACTCTCTGTATCGTCGGAACGCTCGATTTCTCCGTTTTCGTAGCAGACCACGTGTGCACCACCTCGCCCCCGAACGCGATCAATACGTTATCTTTTGCATGTTGCCACGTCGCGTGCAACAACTGAGCCTTCACGACGAATTCCTCGACGAGACCACCCTGAAGACACCATCGCTTTTCGAGCGGCTTTAAACGGGTCAATCCGCACAGATTCCGTTCATCGGGACCAGGGACTTAACACTAGAACTACCAAACCAGTCAAAATGACTGGTCAATACGCTCTTACAACGACCATTAAAATGTTATCACAATTTTCTCAGATCTTTTCCACGTTTTATTACGATATGAGAGTGAAGAAATCAGTCAATTTCTAAATTTTTAAAAGTTTTCCACGTTTATCCAGCGATCGAAGCAAATATGCGTTTATCGTCGGTAGTTCTAGTGTTAAACCGGTATGATTTTGATACCGGTATTACGCCGTCGAAGCTATATCGAAACCGATATATTATCGAAATAAATACCGGTATTTTTCCGATTTCTATAAGGACTTATATAGGGTTATGTGGGGCGAAGATACAAATGAGAATATCGGTATAATACCGGTATTTTACGTTTCCGTAGACGTCCTTGATCAGGTTGAAAATTTTGTTGCGTACCTACGGTTAATTGACCCCTCCCACCTCAGCTTCTAATATCGGAGTAGAGGGGTGTGGTTTGGCAGTAGTTCCGATAATAGAAGCTCGGCGAATTATATTAAAATCGTCGTGTGATCTTGGTGAGGTTCACCTTACTAGAGTTCCATGACAATTTCGGAATACAGTAAATCATCGATGAGTTCTCGAAGACTCCTCGGCATTGCACATTAAATGTTTTATAATCCATGCTCTAATCACGGGGTCAAATAAAACCGATCACTCGAACCGGAAGCTATATTCGATCGAATGGCGTCCTCAGGATGTTCGATGCGTTCGTCATGTCTGAAGGACACCGATCCTTAAAAGGACAGACGAACGTGAAAAAGGGTGTCTCGAAGGAATTCCGCGAAGGATTTTCACGGGTCCCGCCGATTGTTACAGGCGTGAAATCGGCCTGTCTGCTTCCTCTATTCGCGAACGGTCGAGCGGGAGAAAGAGCATCGCGAGGAACAGTGTGCAAAAGGGAGGTGAAAAAAAAGGAGAAGATGGAGCGGGTGGGCAGAAGAAGAAGGTCGATGACGACGAAGACGACGAAGAAAGTAGATCGACCACCGCCCTCGGTCGACAGTCAACCGATGGGTGGGAAGGGGAAGGCCGACGTCGGCGTCATTTTGAGGCTCCAGCTTGCAAACCTTAGTTCGAGGCGGAGGGCGTCTTGGGAGGCTGGAAGGGGTTCCATTTCAGACACTCCGGATCGATCTCTTTGTAGACAGGCCCCCGTCTCTTCACTCTTTCCTTGTAGTCGTCGATCACGTCCTGAAATTATTTCAACGGTTCTCCACCCGGTCCGTTTCTCTCTCTGTTTACTTTTCTTTTTCTTTTTTTTTTTTTTTTTTTTTTTTTTTTTTTTTTTTTTTTTTTTTTTTTTTTTTTTCGTTTCGACGCAAACGAAAAACGGCGGCTCGACCGCTCCGGCACTTCCTTCCGTTTCGCGGGAACACCGACGGACGAATCAGGGGGGACACTCCCTTCAACTCTTCGAGCTCGTACTCAAAGTAGGGTAAACGCACCGATGAATGAACACTTTAGAGACTTTGGAACTATTACACTCGAACTTCAAATGATCACGATAGTAATGAATATTTGGAAAAGTTAATTAATTACGTTAAAAAAAGAAATACAGATTTTACCAGTGATGGAACAATATTAACCTTTAAGTACCGAGACGTGGGCTCATAGACTACGCGTCTGGCTTGACCTTGGTTTTCGTGGTGACAACGTCACTCATTTTTTCGAATTAGTCGCCCGTGAGAGACGTGCAAGTGCGGTTGTGTCGACGTATGCATTTTTTGGTTAGTTATAGTGATATTTAAATTTTAATAATTTTATTAATATACTGGTTTTGTATATGTGATGTTCGTTTATTCGTACATCCACCCCTTATTACAAACCAATGACAAGTCACTCTCTGGCCACAAGATATTAAGTCCTCGGCTATCGGCCAATTTTATCCCCCATGATTGTGATACCGTTCGGAATCGTTAAACACTCGTTTGATTTCGAGCATCAGGACGTTATAATTGCGTAAAAATTTCACACACCCCCGGTAGAAAGCACGCAAACGCACGGTCGTAGACCGTTGCTCGCGGAAGCAGAGTTAGGTAGGTAATTTATGCGCGTATAACTTCGAAAGGGAGCCAGAGGTTCGGTCGTAATTCCGTTACGAGTATCCGTCGACGATTTCTCGGGCGAGCCGCCGTAAATCACGCGACACGATCCAATTGGTATCGCGGTAAGGGGAGGGGAGGGGGGTTGAAAAAGGAGCGGTGTCCCGTTCGAGACGCGAGGGGGAATTGCCCCTTATCCGCCGGACAAATTAGAATCACAAACGGGAAGGGAGGAGAAACTTACCTGTTTCTTCAGAATGATATGCTTCCCTTTCCAGTACTTCATCATACCAAGGGCTTGCAGGGTGCTGACTATGTCGTACGAATCGATCGCCATCTCCTTGCTGATGTCTGAAAGATGCGAGTACAAACGATATGAAATAATTGCGTGACATTGACATGCATACTCTGGAACGTCGATGGGAAAATTTTTGTTTTTATATAATTTTTTTTTAGAGATATCAGCATTTTTTTAAAATTATTATGTTTGAATGTTTTATGCAGTTAGTAACTCGTTCGCCGGATAATTTCCACTTGACGACGCGCGTGCATAAGTGAACGGAATGTGAACCGTGTAACACTACGTTCGTTTGCCAAGTGCGGAGGAGGCGGCCCGTTTGACAGGGCATATCGAAAAACGGGGGCGAGAGAGTGAAATATGTGCTACCTTTAACGGAGAGTTCCTTGCCCCCGAAGTTGCAGAGGTACTGCAGCAAAACGTCCTTCCAGTAGCTCCGATACGAGATCAAGCCCAGATCTGATAAAGGTTTCTCCGGCGAGCCGATCTTTTTCTCGACCCTGGTCAATAAGTAACCTGCGCAAAAATTCCGTTCACCTTGTTCATATCTAAATATTAAAGATATTAAATATTACGCAAAAAACTTTGTAATTCTGGGAAGGGAGGGTAGTGCAAAATACAATTTCTTTTTCCTGTAAGGTGGGGTAAAAACCACTTTTTTCCGTCCAGGGGTAAGGAGAAAGTGTCTCAAAAACCTACCCTTATAAACATCGAAAAAATACCAGTATTTATTTCACTTTTCGATAATATATCGGTTTCGGTATAGCTTTGATGGCATAATATCGGTATGAAAATCATACCGGTTTAAGTCCCTGGGCAAAAGTGCAAGGAAACGCCGAAACAGTAAGGCTCTGCTGCAGTCGCGACATGTAATTTAGTAACTATGCAGCGTCCTTGTGCATAGACTACTAAATGGACTATGAAATTCCGATTGCACACGAGACACCGGTGGTGGTTAGTGCAGGTCGAAGCCGCATAGGTATACAGAGAGCACGGAGAGGCCGTGTACGTTGCACACACACATATACACATACCTATCCTGAATCGACGCCACCGCTATAAGCCATTTCTGGTGTCAGTGACCGACGAAGGATGAAACACGCCGTCGCGACGCACCGCCGTATCGAAAATAATTTCGCAGCTCTTTACCAACGCCCGGTTCTGTCTAAGAACAGGGACTTCCAGCGAAACGTAAAACATTGTATCGGTATTTTTGGTTGTACTTTCGCCCTATGTAATCCTATATAAGCCCTACCCTTATAGAAATCGAAAAAATACCGGTATTTATTTCGGTTATCGGTAATATATAACTTAACTTTAAGTTGAATATTCCGATTTACTAGTTGCATATGTATCTTTGTAGACCTATCACCTATTTATTGTAATATTTCTGTAAATTAATGGGCTTTGCCCTGTGAAAATAAATATTATAATATATCCGTTTCGGTATAGCTTTGATGGCATAATACCGATATCAAAATCATACCGGTTTATGTCCTTGGGGGCCATAATACCCATTGTTGGAATTCGAGAAGGTGGGTTATTTTCAATTTATATATTATATTTTAGATCTTTGTCTATACACAGCATCGACGACACGGTTCAACGTCCGTTCCGGTTAGTTTGTCTCTGGACTTGGCGGGGGAAGAAAATTGTAAAAAGAATTTTCGCAGGACCACCACCGAAATTACCATTTTTTTTTTGTCAGTAGGAATGAACCGGATATATTAGACCATAGTTGGCCCGATAACGTTTAAAGGTTTCCCGGTCTCTGGCTCGCGCGAACTAATTAACTAATCGAATTAATCGAATCGATCGCGCCTAAACCGATTTCTCCGTTTATGGGTCATCCGCTACCATTTGTGGTCTCCCTATCGGTTCTGCGTTGGTATGCGACTGAATTAAAAAAAAGACACACGAGTAACGATCGGAGAATATTCCAGGTGGGGATGTTCGATTCCAATTCGATTCCTTGGAAGATCGAATACCTTGGGTAAGAAGCCACTGGCATCTGTAACGGATACGCTAATGGCCAACAGTATGGGTAATAAATTGTACTATTTTTTTTTATTATCAACCAGAAAACGATCCTATTCGCCTCGGTCTGCCCTATTCACCGGAGTATTTCATAAGATTTCGAGAACTCTTCCGTCTTGCTCGAACTGGCGATGGACCTCGACGCTCCAGAACGCCCGGAAGCCGTAAGGTTCAACGACCAGCGCCGTACGAAATCCTCGCGCCGCGGCGCAACTACACACGTTCCCGAAATAACCGCGCGGAATTCTCATTACCCGAATAATTGAGATCGAGACACGATAGCGGAGTGGTTCCACGCTTGTCTAGAGGGGCTGCGATATAAAAGTACAGAAAAAAGAAAATAGAACCGTGGTGTTCCCGCGGTGTCAGAAAACGAGGAGGGGTGGGAGTGGGGTGGTAAAAAAGAGTACAGGGGAGACGATTTTTGTGGTGTAACCGAGGTGGCCCAGGAGGACCGGTCCGTCTGTCGGGCTTATATTCCAGGACGTTCCGGGGCGGCTGAAGGGTTCAATGACCATATCCTCTTCCTCCTTCTCCTACTCCTCCTTCTCTGGTATTCTGGTCCAGAGAGGGGAGAGAGATAGAGAAAGAGAGAGAGGATCGTCTACCCTCTATCTCTCCGCCACCCTTTCCCAATTCTTTTCCGCCAGCCGGGGCTCTTTCCTGCTACGTCGTGTGGCACGTGGTATTTTTCTCTTTTCCACTGGTCGATTTCCCCGTTCGTAGCCGCGACGACGGTGGGCATCGGGAAAAGCGCAGAGCGCATTCATTACGCGGCCTGGTTCCCCGTGTTCAGTATTGCAGAGTTTTGGGGGAGCGGTGTTCCGAGGCGACGTCGGGGCGGTCGTAGGAGAATCGTTGGAGGAGGAAAGGTGCCTGGTGAGAATAGAAGGACGACGAGAGAACAACGGGAGGGGGGGGGAGAGGGTTGAAGAGGAAGCGCAGCGGTGGGAAGGGAAAGGCAAACGGGGGATCGACGTGACAGCAGCCCGGTCGGGGAGGTTCATGGACTCTCTGCCGTCCCGTCCATCCCTCTGCAACGCCGCAGCCGCGGCGCAGAGGTGGCTGCCCTACACACCACGAGGAAAAGGGCGTCGGTGGTGGCCCTGCCAATCCTCTACCGCCCTGCGAGCCATTCGTGGGGCGAGGTCACCGGAGGTCATACGATCGCGCGAGCCCTACAACGCCGCATCGAATCGAACCAGGTGGAAAACCACCACTGGCGAAGCCTCCTAGGGCTGTGACCTGTGCTGGCCCACTAGCTACCGCGGAGGGCTGAAAGGGATACGGATGTACACTCACGAGCAAACTTCCGTTATGGAAAAAAAGTGGCACAAGAGACGGGCCTTCTGGCATTTGGCGAATTTATTTCAAGTACTTGACTGAAATAGATGTTCCGATCGAATGGTAATTTGGCAGAAATTTCAGTTATTGCCGATACCAAGTAGAAGGCCCTTCCGTTAGGGGAAAAAGTTTCGTGGGGGAGTTAAATGTTAAATGTTAAACTGAACGTTAATTTCGTATACATTTCAATAGTTCCCGTCAAAATCCATAACAAAGATCCTCCAAGCGAAATCATTCAGCAGAACTCTATCAATAACACACCTATGGCAGACATCCCCCGAACTGAACCTCTACGTACACCCTCGACACCTTCGATATTTCGTCCAAGTACTTCCTCCTCCGCGGCGAGACACGCGACCCCCGGGCGGCCACGTGGTTCCGTCGCATAGCTCTCTCGAACCAGCGGACGATTCACGGAGCAAGAAGTCGGTGTTACTCCTAATCGCGAATTTCTAGAAGAGCCAAAGCTCCGACGTCGGCTTTTTGCCAGGAATTCCTCAGCAAGGTGCATCAGACACACCTCGTACACGAGATGCGACGGGATGGGACCAGACGAAACACGGACTCTGTGCGAGTGTGTCTGTGTATAAGCCAACAGAGCAGGTAGAACGCGAGGAGGTTCCGTGGGGGTCGATCGATGCGGCGAGACGCCGAGCGTCGCACTTTCCGCTGCTAACCATTCCACTCCAACCTACACTCCACTATCCGTCACACCACTACCACCGTCGCACGAATCCTTCCCACCACCGGCGCCACTGCCGCCCCCGCGCAGCACACCAACGATACCATGCGTCGTCTATCTTTCTCTATCTCCCTCTCTGGCAGCCCCTGCGGAAAACCCGCCAGGGGCTAACACCCCTTCCGACTGCCCCCTTCCGTCTCTCTGCTACGCGATTCTCGACGACTTCGTCCGCATAGTACGTCGACCCACAACCCCAGCCACCTAGCCACCCCCCAGACTTCGTCCTCCTCCACGCCACCCCTACGCTTGCGATCCACACTACACACCCGGCTTCGCCTCGGCGGCATCAATGAAAATGACGTCACGGCAAAAAGCTCGCGTTTAATTATCAAACGGTGCGTGTACTAGCGCGCGCGCGCACGAAGGAGCTCACCGAGGCGAGAGAAAGGGCGTGAACGTGATATATGGACGGTTTTGGTTGATGCGATCGCGAGCACCACGCCGCACAGTGGACCGATCATAAGAAATTCTTGGACAATTTTGTTGTTGGTGAAATCAGTCAAATTTCTACATAAAAGTAATACTCGAACAGTCAGTCTATTAGAAACTATCGTCGTTTATACCTTTTTCGTTGGTTTAAATAGAAAAAATAGTGTTAGAAATAGACATATGATAATGTAATTGACGACTGTCGAAGAGACGCATTTCTAGTGCACATTTTACAATAATATGTTTAATACATCCCATAACTGATAACATGTATTAAAGAATGTAAAATGATGAATGAATTGTGACATTTTTTTTCTACAATTATGTGAATATTTATTGAGTTTCAATCATTTTTATGAAGTCTAGTAATAAGTTATAGGATAATTTAGTAATCCAGGGTTAAAGACAGATGAGTAGAGGTCTGCCTGGACTGAGCCTCCTATTAGATCATCAAAAACGTCCCACCTTCCAAGAGTTAATCGATCCTTCCGACGATATTTCGTTGTTCTCCTCTTATCGAATGATTCATAATGAAGGATAAGGCTTCGTAATGAAGGACGCCCGTCAACGGAACGCTGCTGACGCATTTGCGGTAGCGAAGGAGCTGTCGCGCCCATAAATGGGTGACGTGGTGGTGGTAGACGCGTTGCTCTTACGAGTTCGGCCGAATGTCTGCCAAACGACAGTCACAGAACCTTGCATTCGCGTAATGATTGACTACTTAAAACTATCATTTGCCCAGTGGAAATATACTAGATAAAAAGCTAGTACAGACTACTCTCGATTATCGTCTGGCTTGTTCTCCACGATTATTGTCCACGAGTTATCCCCAGCACTGGGGGGGCGTGCAACCTGTCAAGCGCATACTTTCACGATTATTGTCAGGAACCGAGTTCGTGACAATAATCGAGTCGAGTCTGTACCAGTTGTAATGACTGCCTGGCGATAATACCGACGATTCCACGCGTATTCCCCCGGGTCAGCAGATAAAGACTCGACCAACCGGTGGTCCTATTTCTATTTCGAGATTTGCCCCGACGGGATTCACGTCTACACAGCGGTTAGAAATTCTCGAAGGCACGTGGCTTTCAATCGCCGACGACCGCAACACATCGACAGGGAGACGACGAAACACCGCCACGGAAACCACCGGCGGAGGCGGTTCCTATAAACTCTTGTTCCCAATTCGGTTATCCTTTCGATTTCGTCGGACGTGCAGGATGCCGTCATCCTGTCACCGTGGACGCGATCAAGGTCCCAGAATCCAGGGTAATAAGCGGGAAATATATATATAAAAAAAATGATCGTTTTTACTCACTGAAATCGATGAGCAGCCGGCCGTATCCCTGGCGTTGATAAGGCGGCAGCGTTAGAATGCAGGATACGTTGTAATTGAGGAAAGAGTTCTTTTCCTGGAACAGAACGAGAAACTGAGTTATCGCAACGGAACGTGTCGCCACCGCCACAAATTGATAACAAAACAAACATTCGTATTCGTTGCCTATATTTCGCGCCTAGTTTACAAACTCTTCCGGGAAACGAAAGGAACAAAATCGAAAGTTCCCACATCAAGCCGAAGCAGAGGTTCAGTTTGGCCTTGATGGTCTTTTTTAATACATTCGTAACGTAGGCCTACGTCACTGTAAAACCTTTGGGCGCGTACTGGTAACGTAGTTCTACGTCATTTTAAAATATATAGCATCCATCGCCCGTTTTTCTTTAGCAAGACGATTATCTTGATTTTAAATTTTTGTTAGGTTAGATATTCTTATATAATAACTAGTTAAAGCTGTTGTTAAAACATTTTAAAAGTCGACTGTTCAAGAGAATATTATTTTCGATTCTCCGATAACAGATCCATTCTCTTCGTTCATTTGTGCATTATTATACAGAGCGTGACTGCGATATAACGATTGTAGATCAGCGATGTTTAATCTTCGTTTGATTCCAGTCCACCAAAAATCTACATAATTACATCCATTTCTACGGGAGAAATTCCATTCTGCTGGGGCCCAATTACAGCCCGTCTGGCCAAGTGCAACCAGAATTACTGTGAACCACCACGCGAACATGGTGCCTCCCCCCTCTGCGATTGCTTAAGCGTACGACGTGTTCCTTGTTCTCTTCGCCGATATTCGACGAAACGAAGCTCTGGCGCTGCTGCGAATCACATATGGGTACCCGATTAAAACCAAAGTGTGTTCCATCGTGTGTCGAGCTGCTGCATTCTCGATGCAACTATACCGATAACCAGTTGTGTACACGTTTCGAGCAAATTGCCAACAATAAATGACATAAGTTGTCTGAAAAACCATAGTCACCCGTTTCTGCATTTGACTTGGGTTTTGCAGGGAACCCAAGCTGACAAAATGGTAAAGCAAATTGGAAGAAAAATTCTTGCAACATATGTCAAATTGAGGGTAAAACTGGAACAAGGTTTGTAGAAGCCAGTTTGCTGCCAATCTGCTTATAGTAAATCTTGCATAAAACTTGTAGCCATAACTCTATAACAGACATTGGACAAAATTTGGCTTTGCAGATTTGGCTGACTGGGCAGCTTCGAAAGAGTCGAGGAGGGACACAGAGACGTGTTTACGCGGAAAGAAAAAAAAGGTGGAATAATATTTTCGTGTTAGCACACTCGACAGGCTCCAGGTGGCTGCTTGTGTGCGGTAGACACAATATCATCGCGTGCGCGCGCGCACGGTATCGTGACGTTAACGCGCGACGAAAATGCGCCGCGACCTTCGTCACTCGAAAATACAATGGGTTAACGATATTTTAGAGCTGCCGACGGCGACGTCCGTTCGGTCGAGGACGTAATATGTTTTATTAAACAAGTTAAGCGCCATTTGTATCGAAATGAATACAATACGTTCTGGCTTAATGGGCCACCTGTATTAGTTTGAATATTGCGTTCTTCGTTCAAATTCGGCTGCCTGTTATTTATAAATATACAATATTTACATATACATAATTATACGAGGAAAGGTTTCAGGATGGCTCAGAAGATCTTAGTGGCCAGCAATTTTGTTTATCTACGTCGATATAAATGAAAGAGTTAGTCGTATGGTAGTCTATATTAAATAATATTATGTTCCAAACTGAGGCAATATTTCGGGTAAACAACACGTGAAATAATTAAATAAAGTTACGCTACAATCATCAAGTTGGCAGTAATTGGGACATCTAGCCTAGTTGTGACGGAACACGAAGGACTAAACGACAGTCTTACGTTGACTGTCACAGTGAAATAGGTCGTACGTAATCAGACACGCTTTATTTCGTTTTCCAAGTCACAAATCGTCGAAAATATAAGCGTTCAGTTAATAGAAGCATTTGGTCTTGTCTTAAATTGTACTGTTGTTGATTACATAATCTATACATATCCTATAAAGCAAAATTTCAGTCGACTAAAAACTATCGACTAAATAGTAGACGCAGCTTAACGTATTTCAAAACGCTGGTTTTTCAATCGAATTTCCTTCTGGTTCCACGTTCGCGAATGTTTACAGTCTCAGCGAACGCGTATATATGTACACCCGAAATCGCGTATATGGAGTCATCAGATTCGTTTATCCATGTTTTCAGCCGGTCGGTTCCGTTGCCATGGGGCCCGGCGCGTTTATCCGTTCTTTCGATCGCGTGCTCTGTTTGCGTTTTGTCATAATCTGATTGTACCACGAATATTATTCGAAAGTCTCTCTAATCGCTCTCGAATCGTGCCAGTAGGAGTCGTTCTCGATAAACTGGAACAAAGGGAAGAGTGGACATTTCCTCCGGAGGACGAATATCACAGGTTCGTTCGACTAAAATTCAGAATTATATCCGATAACTATAGCTGTGTTGGTATTGGCTGTATCGGTGCGGAAGAAAGCAGACTAAATATCTCTCTTCCTCTCTTAATATACGATTCTTCGAAACATATTGTGCACCATAATCGACGCAAAGAAAAGAAATCTGCTTCGTCTCGAGCTAGTGTTAGCACAGACGAGATATAAGAATAGACCTAACATCTTACAGTGTGTTACAAAAGTATTCGTACACCGTTTAAAACAGCACAACTCTTTCAAAATTGGACCAAGTGACTAGACGAAAATTCGAATAATCTTCGAATAAAACGAATTTATTCAATTACGAATAAATTTTTATTCGAAGGAACCAGCGAATAAAGGTTACGTAAATCAATCGTCAATCGCTATCTCGAGATGGGTTTCCTTTACCGCATCGTACCCCTCTGGTTCCTATCCATGGATGGAAAGAGGTGTCGCTTCCTCCTAACTTTTATTCGCTGCGGAGTTATTCACAACAACGAATAACAAATAATTGTTCGTCGAATAAAATCGTTATTCGTAAATAAATCCTGGGACTTTATTCGTTATTCGAAATAAAATTTGCCCAACTCTGCGTGCCTGGCCATCGCCACGTATACGAGCGTTCCATCGTTAATCATTCGCCGCCCCTCGGTCCCATTACGTCGGCGGGCGAGGAACGGACGGACCCGGTACAACTCGAACACCCGGTATTTCCGGCCGTGGTAGCCGTGGCTGTTGCTAACTGGCGAGTGGGGCAGCAACGGTTCGAAGGACACACAACTCGAGAAGAGACTAGGCCCCCGTGGTGGTGTTGTGCGTGCGTGATCTCTGTTTTCTGTAGGTGTATGTTTATGTGTGTGTTTGGACATGCGTGTGTTCGACTGATTGGAAGGAAAAGGATGGCCAGAGAGAAAGCATAGAGGGAAAAGGTGTATATGTATATCACTGGCAATTATGAACGGAGTCACCATAATCAGAGTCAGATTGCTACAAGTCAGAGGATTTTGGAACGTACATAAGACATTTTTGTGCTATTTGGGATAGTGTTACCCCGATCCAGAACCTGCGAATGCTGACTGTAAACATGTTCACATGATTCTTTTCGGGAGACCAGACGGATTGCACTTGGAAGCCTCGACGTTGATAATCGTCTAAATGTCAGAGACAAGATAGGAGGGGAAGGGAGGCGTAACGACGGATGTTACCAGTGACGAAGGAACGTTTCCAGACGAGTAGAAAGAGAGTGGGATAGGGAGGGGCAGTGGACGGAACGGGGAGATAGAAGGAGCAGCAAGAAGGTGGAGAAAACGAGAGGGGAAGAACAGAATCTGGGCCCCGCGACGTCCTTGGGCCACTAGCTCCGCTCCGTTCAGGGACGTCTCGACGTCCCCACTCCTCCTCTGGCTCGCCTCCGCGCAAGAAAGGCCCTTGCACGCTGCTTTTCCTCCTCGATTCGTTTCCCTTTTCTTTATAGACGATTCCCGTCGCGTGGTAGCGACATTCTTCGACGAAATCGATCGACACTGGCGTGTGGTCACATCTCCCCGTGAGACTGAATTGTGTCCCTCGTTTTTCCGTTTAAGAAAAACGCATCGTCGTCCTGCTCCTGTTATTTCACGGTTTACTTTCCACCGATGGAACGAATTCGGAAAATGCCTCCCCCCAACGTCGAGCTACCAGGCAGCGTCACTGACGATAGACATAGAGAGCTGGGGGAATCGATACCCCTAAGCTCGTCGACTCTACTCTTGTCTCATTTCGACTCTGGGACTCGGGCCGTTGAGCTGCTGGCGGTTAACGATCGTACGGTAGCTAGCGGCAACCGTTTCGGCCCGATAAACGAATTGATCGAGCACGGTCGATCGACGAAAATTCACGGTGAGAAGGGTAACGGTAGCTACGTGCTTCACGCAGAAACTTACACCCCGGTTTATTCGTCACCGAATAGACTGTGGATCTTACGGAATGGTTCGTGGGATATTCTATTGTGCGAAGTATACAGTGAGAGTCAAATGTGAATATACACTTCTTATATCTATTTCTTTTTCAAATTTCTACATTTGCGTCTGTCTCTATAAATGACTTTAGAAAATGTGATTTTGTATAAAAATCCGCAATTTAGAAATTACAACAGTGGTCCAAATTCGACAACTTTTCCCTAATAAATCCCCGAATTACATAGAAATTTTTTCTGACGAGCTGTCGCGCAAAAAGTTGGTTCCTCGGAAAGGATCGACGGACGATTGTTATCGATCGTGGCCGTTGAAAGGAGCTTCGACGCGAGTCCCGTCGATCGTAAAAGGTTTCCAATCGGTCAGTATCCTTTTCTGCGTATAGTCGTCGTGCCATAAAGTGCATGCACACACACACACGCACACGCGTTCGATGATAGAGGCATCGGAACGCAGCGAACGAGCGAGTAGTTGGCCAGGCATCCGTCGCATATATCTGCTTCGTTCCTCGCGCGTTCATAAACACGTCGCACTGGCGACGTCGGTGTATGCAAGAGCCCCCATGCGTAGGTGAACGAACGTCTGCGCACGGATAAGGCGAATAAAATAATTGTCTCTGGGCTCTTTCTCCGTTTATGAACTCCA